GTCGAGCCGCCAGCTGGCACCCACTTCTTGTTGGCATCATCGTAAACCATCACAGCAGCTCTGGCCTGACAGATACTCTGCTCACTGTGAGAACATGCAGAAAAGGAAAAAGGGGGGGGAAAGCAAACATGAGGCGTTTAAAATATGCTCAGTTGTCCACACAGCCAGAAAAATCAGTCAGCCGACTCAGCAGTCACTCAACAATCAGGGCTTCACTGGGTGCCAGAAACAACAGTGAACAAGACAAAAGCTTCCTGCCCCTGTGGGTACAGTCTGGCGGATTAGAAAGGAAAGGGTAACGAGGGACATAAGGAGGGGAGCGGGATCCACGAACACACAAGTAACACAGAAATGTTTTCTTCTAAATCTGAGTATCGACACGCTCATTAAACTGAATACAACTCTAAGTATAAATGACCCATTATGTGTTTAATCATATATCCTATATAATAAAAGGCTAATATGGAAAGCAACCAAACAGCGGAACGACCGGTCGCTATGACATGCACGGACCGCCAGGGGGCAGATGCTCAATGCAGGAGCTGTCCCCTGGTGGTCCATGTGCTCCCACAGGGGGAGTGCTGCTCAACTAGAAGCCAGGCTCATGAGTTCCTAGCTCAGCAGCAGCGGTGATGGGAGCCTCTCCCGCCTCCATGGCAGCGCTCAGGATGTCCGACTGTTGGCTTAGGCCCACTACCCATAGGACAAGTCTCATCAGTCGGACATTCCCTGAGGGTTCCCGGACTGTGAGAAGGTGCAGTCTGGGCTGAGAGGCCTCCCCACCACCCCCACAGTGCACAAATTTCGTGCACCAGGCCTCTAGTATGTTTATAGTATCAGTGACCTGTTTGTGAATCCCTCTGTACTGAAAACCCATTGGTCATCAGGCTTGCTTCATGGTCTATATAACAAATTCTGAGACGCTCTATCTGCCCCTTAAGATATGGAGTTGTCACCAATAATCAATGATGGCAATGTGACTCGCTCGAACCCCCTTGGCCAGAACACCCTATGTTTCAAATTTCTTCATTTAAAAAATGGAAAAGTAAAGTGAGATGCTTCCCAAGGATCCTTTAGATTTTACTTCTAACCATCACAGATAAATACGAAAACAGGACAATCCCAAAATAATGTCTTTAAATCTCAACTTCACCTCAATTATCTGTTACCAAGTGAGACCGAGATACATGAATAAATAAAATGAGGGGAGATGATCTGAATTTCACATTAAGCACTAGTTTCATCTTGCAGAAATCCTCTAATGCCACCCTGGGGGGAAAATGGTTGATTAGAATTTTAGTTTATTTCGTTTTTGTGTTTTAAATCAAATATGAAAGTGAACAACAGAAGAAAACAGGTACAGTAGTAACTCTATGCTTTAACCCAAGCGCCCCACATACTGTAGAAGACTTAGCTGATGTTTAAGCCATGACGGATGCAGAGACACCCAGGCAACTCACCCAACCCCGTCTTGAACGAAATCTTTGCTCATTCAGCCCACTTTAGCCTCAAAGACTTAAGAAAGTAAATCATGTGGGTTCCTCTCCAATGTCCCCAGGAGCAAAAAGTCACTTTCGCAACCTCTTCTCTCACCCCCATGTCTGCCCCATCTCTCAACACTGTATGTGTGTGTTTTTCACTCAACTTGCCAGGCAATCTGATGACAGAGGATCAAGGGGACATTAACAGGCCGCAGCACTGAGCAATAACACTGCTTCAGAACAATGGGTTCCAATTGTTTATATTTTTCCACTAGAGAAATTTTACAAAAATTTGTAACAATATTTCCGCAGCACGAACACTGAAATAAATCCACTGATAATCTAAAACTGTATGCCTGAAAAATTTTGAACATAACTGTAATTGAGTTTTGATTTTATAGAGAGGAAGGGAGAAGGGGAGAGAGATAGAAACATCAGTGATGAGAAAGAATCATTGATCGGCTACCTCCTACATGCCCTCCACTTGGGATCAAGCCCATAACCTGGGCACATGACCTGAATCAAACTGGTTCATGGGCCTACGCTCAACCACTGAACCACACCGGCTGGGTTGCACTGAAATTTTGGGGGTAAAAAGTTCTGGGAATAAAAATAAGCCGATGACTAGAGCCTGAATTATTATTTTTTTAATATATTTTTTATTGATTTTTTTTTTACAGAGAGGAAGGGAGAGGGATAGAGTTAGAAACATTGATGAGAGAGAAAAATCGATCAGCTGCCTCCTGCACACTCCCTACTGGGGATATGCCCGCAACCAAGGTACATGCCCTTGGCCGGAATCGAACCTGGGACCCTTCAGTCCGCAGGCGACGCTCTATACACTGAGGCGGGCTTGAATTTATTTTTTAAGCTGTGATTCAAGAGCACTTGTCAGCACAACAGTAGAAATCTCGTCCACACTCACAAGAGAAACACTTACGTGACAACATATACATAACCGTATCGCAAGACGACATGTACCAACGTAAAGCAAAGTGCGCAATCCAAGAAGCAAATCTGAAAATTAACAAAGTAACACTATTTCCCCGTTTTCAAAAACTACTATTTGGGGATATACAATATGATTCCCATGGTTCAAGAAATACGGTCTCCTCAAGACAGTCCCAGTGGGGTCACAGACATTAGGCCACACTGAACCCCTATTTTTTGTAAATTAGGTCGTTTCATGCTCAAAAAAAAAGAAGACAAAAGGCTTTCCGAAAAATAAAAATAAAAAAACCCAAAAGCAGAATATCCCCATTTCTTCCTCTACCCTTCCTTCCCTCACTGCTCTACAGTGGGTATCTGGATACATTCCAAGGATTGCAGCACACGGTTCAGCTAACAGCTTTTAATTGGCGCTTATTATACAAACCACTTCATCAACCATCCCGTCTGGTCACTTCAACTTCCCTGGAAAAGATACAACCACGGAAACAAAGACGTCTGCAAATGAAAATATCCACGTGGCCAGCAAAAGGCCAAACATGCAAAAAAAAAAAAAAGTTAGTTGATTCATTTTCTATTGAAAATGAAATGTCCAACATGAGCAGCGGGAGGGAAGAGCCAGGGTTAACAAGAAGAAGAACTAAGCTGTGGGTAAGAGCTGAGGGGCTCTGGGAAGAGGAAGAACAGCCAGGAGAGGGTGTGAAGGGTGCGAAGGGATGGATCTGGCCCAGATAACGCTGCAGTCCTGGCACTCGGAGAACCCACATCAAAGCCGGGCCAGGAAGGGACCGGCCAGGCCCACGGGAGTTCTGAGAGACAAATTCAAATCAAGTCCTCCCATTCCTTTCCACAACATCTGAGGATCTTTCCTGGCTGGAGACAGACATTCTGTGATATATATATATAAAAAAAAAATCTTTGGTCTTTGTCCCGGTCCCTGGCACAGAGCTCCTAAAACCCTTGGCATCTCCTGAACAGGAAGAGAGCCTCTGGCATGCTAATGAGTTGACTTGCAGGCTTGAGGAAGGGGGCTGTTTTCAGAAATACTGAGCCATGATCAGAGGGTTGCAATTTTCAGTCCCACTCCCCCCATCCCCACTCTGGGGAGGGTAGAAGGGTCAAAAATCGAGTTCACAATCATGCCTATGTAACAAAACCTCCATAAACGCACCCAAACAAGCTCACGTGGCAATGCTGGGTGGGTGGCATGCCCAGGGTGGGCATGGAACCTCTGCACCCACCCCAACCTTTGCCCTATGCATCTCTTCCATCTGGCTGTTCCGGAGTTGCATCTCTATATATAAAAGCCTAAGCGACCATTCGACCGGTAGCTATGACATGCACTGACCACCAGGGGGCAGGTGCTCAATGCACAGACATGGAAACATGGAACAGACTGATGAATGTCAGAGGGAAGGGGGAAGGGCAGAAAGAGATTAACCAGAGATCTTATATGCATACTAGAGGCCTGGTGCATGGATTCATGCACCGTTGGGGGGGTCCCTCAGCCAGGTCTGCGGGGATTGGGCTGAAACCGGCTCTCCGACATCCCCCAACGGGTCCTGGATTGCAAGAGGGCTCAGGCCAGGCTGAGGGACCCTATTGGTGCACGAATTCGTGCACCGGGCCTCTAGTCCTTTATATTAAACCAACAATAACAAACAAAGTACTTTCCTACGTTCTGGGAGTCCTTTTCGTGAATTATCAAAACTGACTCTGTAGTCAGCAGGGCGTAAGTGGGTAAGCCTTCGTACCCCCACTGGCAGCCAGTATCTGAAATGGGGACAGTCTTGTGGGACTGGGCTATGAGCCTGTGGGGTCTGGGATAACTCCAGACAGTGTTGCAACAGAAGTGAACGGCTGGACACCCAGCTGGTGTGGAAAACGGGAGAATGGGTGGTTGATGTGCGAAGAAAACCACTCCAGAGACCAACTCCAATTACAGGTGGGCACCAAATAAGCCAGTGAGGCACCCTTCTTGGATCTCCCGGATTCACAAATCTCCGATACAGATCGGATGAATCCATATAGAAGGTTGACAATATAGTATTTTAGCCTACCTGCCAGATAGGAAATTGGGGACTAGGGCGGGATCCCCATAACCTAATAAATGGAGGTATTTTAGAACTTAAAATATCTCAAAATAAAGGCAGCATACTGTATTTTAGTAATATACTATAAATGTCATAACTAACAATTAGTACTAATCATAATCATTTTCCACATTGTCTAGTCTTTCTCTTTAATATATTTTATTGATTTCAGAGAAGGGAGAGGGAGAAAGAGATTGAAAGAGATTCTCATCATTGATCAGCTGCCTCCTGCATGCCCCCTACTGGGAACCAAGCCCGCAACTCAGGCAAGTGCCCGTGACTGGAATCGAACCCAGGACCCTTCAGTCTGCAGGCCGATACTCTATCCACTGAGCCAAACCAGCTAGGGCTACAATTCTCCATATTGTCTGGGGTTTACTTTTTTCCTTCTCATTTCTCTCTCATCCGGTAAAATACTTAAGAGTTTGCTTTAAAGTATGACTAGCCTTAGTCACAACAGAACTGCCTGTACATTAGTGTATATAGACAAGAGCGGAATGACAGGGACAGCTCAGAGGGTCTTCTGACAGGCGTTAGGGTCGCCGAAGGAAGAACACACGAG